CTCCTAAAATCTTGTTTTGAGATTTTGTACCACTGTTTTTATTTTTTTCTTTCTTTAAAATAAAAATAACTGATGTCAATAAATAAATAAATAAATAAATAAATAAATAATATTTTGAAAGATCTGGAGATGCACCTTAGTGTAAAAGCCCTGGGATCAATTCCTAGTACCACAGAAACAAACAAAGAAAACCTGTCCTGACAAGAATATTTTTATTTTATTTGTGTGTGTGTGTGTGTGTGTGTGTGTGTGTGTGTGTGTTGAGACAGGGTCTTGCTATACAGTTCAGGCTGGCCTTGAGCTCACTTTGTAGCCCAAATTGATCTCAAATTCACAATGATCCTCCTGCCTCAGCCTTCCAAGAGCTGCGATTGCAGGTGTATGCCACCAAGGAATACTTTTAACAAGCAATACTCATGAGAATAGAATGTTCAATTCTCTCAGTTGAAGCTTGGGACTGTTCTTGGCTGTATCTTAAGACATGGGTTAGTCACTACCAAAACTGACCAGATATATCTGAAGAGACATTAATGGTAATTGCATACATGCACTCACCAGCACATGTGCTCCTGAAGGTTTGCAAATCAACAACAGCTTTCACTTTGATCATGCTTTCAAAGTTGGCAAGCCTCAGTCCAGAGTCCATGCTTTTATGACAAAGAGTTACCCAGTTCCATAACACTACTATTTTTAAATCCCACAAACAAGTCCCTGAGTTCCTTATTTCCCAAAACCTCCTATCATTTCGTACATTGTGATTTACAAGTACAGCTCTCCTTTGGTTAGTATGATGATTAAATATGCATTAACAATTCCTTTCCTTGTATCCTTTGTTCATAAGGAAAATTCTCATCCCCATCTTTCATTCTGGTCTGGCCTGTGACTTGCTTTGGTTTAACAGAATGTGGCAGAAGTGCCAGCCTACACACTAGGAAGTGTGTCAGCTTCCACCTTCCTTCTGGAAGCTTAACATTTTTTGGATGTCCTACATAGCCAGACTAGACACAGTCTGATCTCTATTACATGCAAACTACTATTGGGTTTACCTAAAAATATTTTAATCTGAGGTTCATTGTTCTCATTCTATCTATAATTTCTTATTTGTGGTACGCATGAGCCATATGTTAACATTTGTCTGACAGGGTGTGGTGGTGCACATTTGTAATCCCAGCACTAGGGAGGCTGAAGCATGAGGACCCCCATGGGCTCAAGACTAGCCTGGGCTACACAGTAACATTAAGGCTGGTCTGAACTACATAGCAAGACCTTGTCTCAAAAACAAAAACAAACAAAATGTGTCCATTGACAGTAGTCTACTGGACAGCCTTTTCACATGAGTAAATTTGTATGCAGAAAAAGATATATATTTCTTTGACAGAATATTGACTCCCTGCTTACAGGCATGCATTCTTGGCTGCAACATCTCCAGTGATCTTGGTATCTGTATCTTTCCATTCCCTTCACCTAAAATCCTGACCTTTTCTCCTCATCCTCCTGACATGTTTCTGGAGGAACTCTTGATAGACTGAGACCTTCCCATCTCACTAGTTAGTCACAAAACAGCCTCCAGTTTTCAGAGATGGTCTGCTTGTCTACTTCATCCTGGATTCTCCTTAGGAGAGCTTAGACTTCCCACCACCCCACTGTACCCCCACACACTGGAAGCAGCCAGAAGTGGTGATTCAGTTGCCTCGAGACCACCCTGTCTTTCTTGCAGCAGATAAGGGCTGCTCCAAGGGAGAAATAATGCACTAGCTGTAGCTGACCTTCCAGAGAACAGGATGCCCAGCCACTTTACCATACAACATTTCATATAACCAGACAAGAAGAGAAAATAACATAATCATCTGTCCTCTCACTTACAAATAAGAAAGTATAGAA